GAATCGGAATCCAACCCCGATATCAAGGAGTCCACTCCCAGTCAAACTTTCTAAAAACCTCCAAATTTCTATTTTTTTGCCAAATGACCCCGAAATGACCTACGGACCTCCAAATCCACTTCCAGATGCGCTCCCAATACTAGAATCACCATACGGATCTATTCCTAGACTCAGAATCTCAAACGGATATCAATAACATTGAAACGCACTTCAACCTAAATTTAGGAAATTCTTTCAAAAATGCCAACTTCCATAATAGGCGTCGAAACGCTCCCGGGCCATCCAAAACCTGCTCCGGGCATACGCCTAAGTCCAAAATTATCATATGTACCTGTTGGAACCTTCTAATCCCGATTCTGAGGTCGTTTACACAAAAATCAAACCTTAGTCAATTATTCCAACTTAAAGCTTCCGAAATCAGAATTTTCTTCCCAAACAAACTCCGAACTTCCCGAAATTCAATTCCGACCATACGTACAAGTCATAATACCTGAAGTGAAGCTGCTCAGGGTCTCAAACCGCTAAATGACGCACTAGAACTCAAAACGAACGGTCGGGTCATTACAGTTGTTACATAGTATTTCCTTTCTTGTTGAGCTGTTCTTATTATGACTAGCATTCCCGATTATGGCTACTCCTTGTGAATTAGTTCCTCCATTTCTTTAAGTTCTAGAATCTTTGAGTTGACTTATTTGTCGTACCCTTATATTATTGTCATTGTTGCTGTTGTGCTTGTTGTTGTGATGCACAAGGTTTCTGCCGTGCGGTTGTTGTTATTGTGATGCACGAGGTTTCTGCCGTGCGGTTGTTGTTATTGTGATGCACGAGGTTTCTGCCGTGCGGTTATTGTTATTGTGATGCACGAGGTTTCTGTCGTGCGAGTGTTATTGGGTTGCACGAAGTTTCTGCCATGCTATTGTTAATATTGATATTTGCACGTGTGGCGAGACAAGGTGGGAACATTATTATGCACATGTGGTGAGACAAGGTGGGAATATTATTATACACGTGTGGAGAGACAAGGCGGGCATTTACTTTACCATTGCACACGTAGCGAGACAACGTGGGCTGTGTTAGGGATTGATTTGTGATAACTTTTGATGGCCTGGGGGCATTCTTGTTGTTATTATTTGTGTAATGGTACACTTACCTGTATGAGCTTTATCTTGTGGAAAGTTGTGGGAAAACATTCTATGTGCTGTAAATTTCTTTTCCTATACTTATTAGCTGGCATGAACTATGTTAGGACACTTGCACAAGCATACACGTAGTTAAGAACTCTTATCGATTAAGAGGTTTTCTTGATATTGTTGAGTATAGATGCACACCCTTGTTTACTTGCCTTCTATGTGAGAATGGCTCTATTTGGCACGTGAGTCGTCAATGTGGTTATAAATTGTAATAAGAGCACATGATACTAAGTGTTAGGGTTCAAGAATTGAGACTCGTGAGTTGTGAATATTCTAAGGTTCGGTACCTCATGGAGGTTATTGGCTAAAACTCGATGTGAAAGCAGTCGTTTTGTTGAGTTGTTATTTGCCTTTCATTTATTTGTGATCACCGAATTTAGACCGTGTTTCCGTACATCTACTGTGTCATTATTATGGTATTCTGCTGATAGTTGTCGTTTTTCTTTCTTACTAAAATTACCATATTATTTGCCATTTCACGTAGTCTTTATGTAGATATCATACTCTGTTGTTCCTATACTTATACTTGTTCATGTTATTTAGTCTAATAGGTATCTTGACTGTACCTCATCACTACTCCACTGAGGTTAGTCTTGATACTTGCTGGGTACCGCTGTGGTGTACTCATACTGTACTTCTAGACATTTTTGTGCAGATCCAGGTATTTCGAAGTCAGTTGATCATTAGCTAGTTGTGCGGATTGTTGCTGTGGAGACTCAAGGTAAACCTACTGCTGTGTTCGCAGGCTTCGGAGTCACCTTCTGATTTGTATTCACACTGTTTACTTTATTTCAAACAGTTGTATTTAGAAAATTGTAGCAAACTCTGAAGAGCTTATGACTTGTACTACCGATTTTGGGATTTGTAAATTTTATAGCACTTTCTATTTCATAAATTGTTAGATGTTATTTAATTATTGATTGTTGTTCGGCTAATGTTAGGCTTACCTAGTCCCTAAGACTAGGTGCTACAATACACACACACACACACACACACACACACAAAAGATTCCAAAAATCTAAGGAAAAAAAAAGATCTTTTTCAATGGGTATGGTTGAATTTCATTAAAAACATAAAGATATGTCAATATACAAAATTTGAGAAAGATTGGAGGTGATTTGAACTGATTTGGTATCAAAATTCGTAGTTAAAATCGAGTTCAAAAGATTCATCTGCGACGCATGTAGCAAACATGTAATACACACATAGCTATACATGGATATGCATGTCATACATATTTAATACAAATATGATACATATGTGATACACATATCATTTTTTTCATGTTCATCTTCTACTTCGAATTTTTAATTCAAATCACCTCAAAACTCCATCATCCCAAAACTGAGATTCGAATTTCTTAAGATGTACAAATCTATTTTAATAATACCCATTCAAAAAAAAAGTTAAAAATGACTTTTTTATTTTGCTACAAATAGCTAATTGGCTAAAATTAGTAACACTAGTGTTAGTGTATGCGCGTTGCGCGTGTTCCCCATCTCAATGAGTAATATTTTATAAGAAAATTACATTTATTTTTTGAAATTATATTTGAGTTATAAAATAAAGTGTAAGCTTTTGAAATTGATAACTACTGATCCTCTATAGCTAACTCAATCAAAGAAAAATATTTATTCATAAAAGTCCTCAATCATAATTTAATATATTCACCTTTAATTATGTTCCAATTTTATAATTTTGTCATTTTAATTTCGCGAGTTATCGTACTTCTTTGTTAGTTTCAGTAAGAACGCGGAGCCCTTGAAGATTTAAGATTATTCTAATATTGTTTTTTAGAATTATTCTCAAGTTCATTCGAGAAGACACAAACAAGGTCTAGTGCTTAATTGAACATGGATTAATTATTTTGTTTGATTAAAAAACAATTTACAATGTATATTTAATTGTTTAGCGTTAAAACATTTTAGTTTAGACGTTGTTGTATTAACTACTTTTAATTTAATATGTGATTTTATGTCCTCATATTTTAAGTTTTTAATTGAAAATCAGTTGAAGTCACTGTATAAGAACGTTCTCATCAGAAAGCATCCATGTCAATTAGTGTTACTTATATAAGGTAAAATATTTATTAATTTAAATTCCTAAATATTAGGACTTCTTACCTAGTTTAATATGCAAAAATTTAATTGATTTTAAAGTCTTAAATAATAGAAAGGTAACTTAAATTATAATTTTGTTCATAGTAAAAATTATTTTTAAAGGGTAAAAAAAGGCAAATGACATTTCGCTAAGGGCATTCATATTTTTAAATATAGTATATAGATTTGGCTAATATTAATAATATTTTAAGTATTGTCCAATTTTTATAATAAACTACTTATAAATGAATATATCTGATAGTTTTCCCTAATATTACTAATATTATGAATTGACTAATATTTGTACTAATTAGCTTCTGGATTGACATACTGGTATTTTCTCAAAACTTTTCGGCCAGGGTTAGGGCATCTCGAATCATTGCACTATTGTTTTTATACCAAAATGGTGTAAGCAGCAAAATGGTGCAAATTAACTCCAACCCATTACATTATTTTTTATATCAAAAAAGAATATTCTTTTTATATTCTTCTCTCTTCTATATTATATATTATTTTTTTAATTTAAATTTATTTTTTATTTCATAATACAAATCCTTTCTTTTTTCTTTTTTACATATTCGTCCCATACAATTCATATTTATTTCTTATATAACCATTTAATATAAAATTATTTTATACTATAAATTTTTAAATAATATAAATTATAAGCAAATATTATACATTATACATATTAATGGATAATTTAAATAAAAATAAAATCATTGATAAAATATAATTAAATGAATATTACATTATAGTAAAATTTAGTTTAATTTCTACATAAATATTCAACTTACAGAATTAGTATGTTACTTCCATAAATGCTTTATTAATGCATTACAAAGTACAAAAGATATGGAGATAAAAGATAGAGCTTTGAAACTAAAAGAATTTAAAGAAAAAAATAAAATGTTATTGTCGAATTTAGATTCTATTGATGATCCAAATATTCGTGAATTTATTCGACAAGAACAAAAACGAATAATAGATTAAAAAAAGTCAACAATTTCAACATCCACAACCACAACAATCATGTGCCCATAGGCCCATACACTCAATATTTTTAATGATATTGGTAGATCTAGAAGCGACCTACCAGAGTACTAGATTATTGTTGTAATTTTCTCATCCCATTATGTTATTTAATATATTTTTAATTTTAATCTATGTCAGTCGCTAGTGTATTAAATATTTATTTAATGAATATTGTGTTATTTATTAACAACATATTATATTTTAGACTTGCACTTTTTATTTTTTTTGATGGTTATATATTTTTATACAATTATAACTTATAATAAAATTAACTTATAATTTTATATAAAAATAAAATTAACGTAAATTAATTTATAAAAATTATACACTAAAATTAAAATATAAAATTAATATTATAAAGATATTACATAAAAAGTATAAATAATTACAAAATTATAATAAGTTAAATTAAAAATATTATATAATAAAATATTAATGAATAATAATGATGTTGATGAATAGTATTTCACCAAATTTGGATGCAACACTATTCGCACACCAAAATAATATTGGGTTGGAGCATGAAACACCAAATCTTACGCCCAAATAGATAGCCTTACTAATATTGTTATTCATTCTACTGAATCTTCAAAATAGATTAATAAAAAATGAAAGCGAGAAAAAGAGAAACAAAAGGGTAAAAAGGGAGCAAACCAGCGGCAAGTTGCCTTACCTCCACAACCGCCGCTTACCTCCCCGCCGGTGGTAATTTTCCGGCGAAGCTCAAGCATAGGTTGGTCTCTGAAAAAATTGAGTTCAAGGTAAACTTATGTAGCTGTTTTTGGTGATTCTTCTTGCATCTATTGTGCTTGATAAATGGCCTTAAAACTTATTCAAAGAGGAACTCATGAAGCTGAAAACCCAATTGAAGTGTCTCTTAGAGAAGCTTTTGAGCTTCTTAAACCCCAACTAAACCCCCCATTTTCCTTAAAAGTCCTTACACAGGAGCAATACTCAAAAATTAATAAAGCTTTAATTTTTGGCATTTTATCCCAACCCCATTTGGCTAAAGTTCATATTAAGCATCTACAGGCAATTATTACTGATGGGTATGGCTTCTTTACTTGTATTCTTGTCAATATTGTTGATGAATTGTATCCAAAGTTGCTTGACTCAGTGAAAATTCAGCTTATATGGGTTACTAAAGAGATGTTGAATGTATTAGCTATAGGGTTTGATAAATTGCTAGTGGCTCTTTTAAGGCAAAATTTAGGTGGGGATTTTAGTGAGGGCAATTTGTGGTTGTGTTTGGAGATGGTTACCTTGTTTTTAGCCAATTGGGATTGTTTATTAGAGGAAGAACCATTGGTTTTGAATAAGGGGTTGTATGTGTTCCTTCGGTTATTGGCTGATCATTATAGATTACCAAGTAATCCGATGACGGATGCATTGAAGAGAATGGAGGTTGAATTCTGTGGTCGACTTTTGCGGGAACAATTTCCCTTGTGTTTGAACATAGGGAGAGACTTAATTAGGCTTTTGCAAGACTTGGTTCATATGCCTGAGTTTAAAGCCATATGGAAAGACTTGTTATTGAATCCATGACAGTTTAGGGCGGACGGATTTGAAGATATCTCACAAATTTACCGCAGAAGAACTCCAAGTTTGTACTTTTTGCTTCGAATAACTCCTGAAATGGAAACCAAATTGAGGTTTTTGCTTACACATGTCAAGTTGGGTAATCAAAAGAGGTACCAGGTTTGGTTTGCTAAGAAGTTCCTTGGAGTACCCGAGAGAGAAACCATTTTAACTGACATTGTTAGGTTTATATGCTGTTCAGTTCGTCCATCCAGTGAAATTACGCAACCGGACATCTTACCTAGATGGGCTGTGATTGGTTGGCTATTGAAGTCGTGCAGGAAAAGTTATATCGAAGCAAATGTAAAGCTTGCATTGTTTTATGATTGGCTTTTCTTTGATGAAACGACTGATAATGTAATGAACATTGAACCTGCAATTCTTTTAATGGTGAACTCTATACCTAAGTATATTGAAGTCACCTATACTCTTCTTGAGTTCCTACTAATTGTGGTTGACAACTATGATATTGAGAGGAAGGAGATTATCTCCAAAGGGGTGTCAACGGCTCTTTCTACGATTGTTAAAAAGGGAATTGTTGGTTCACTTGATGTTTTGACTCGATGTGACGTGATATCACCAGTCCTTAGAGAAATGCTTGGAAAGAAAAAGTTCACAAGCACCTGATATGGAGAGGACACAGCAAAGGGGTTTATACTGTAAAGACATGTTACAACGTTTTAATGAAAGAAGTAAATCAGTTTTTTATTGGTCCCTGGAAGCAAATCTGGAAGTCGAAAGCTCCTATGAAAGTTAGTTGTTTTGAATGGTTGGTGGCTAAGAAGGCCTGTTCAACTCAGGACAACTTACAAAGAAGGGGATTCCAATTAGTTAACAGGTGCTACATGTGTAAAGAGGAGACAGAAACTATCAACCATCTATTCTTACACTGCAGAGCTGCCACACAATTATGACAATTATTTTTGAACATTGTGGGAATTAAATGGGTGATGCCAAGCACTACTGCTGAGTTACTGTCATGCTGGAATAGAAAAGGAATGTCAAAGCAAATGAAGAAGGATTGGAATACAATACCAGCAACTATTTGGTGGTGCATATGGAAAGAAAGGAATAGGAGATGCTTTGAAGGACAGGAGAATTCATTCTTGAAGATCAAATCAGACTGCATTTTGTTGATATCTTTTTGGTGTAAACAGGATTGGATAGATGATAGTGAAATCCTTCTAGAATTCATTGAGTCTTTTGTATAGACACAGAGGGTTTTCTTTTCTTTTTTTGTTGTTTTCTGGGATGTAACCACAACACTCTCTTAGTGCTGATTTTTTTTTTTTTTTGATATCTATAATACCTTACCATTTCAAAAAAAAAAGTTCCACTCAAGTGGATGAAAATTTCAAGGAAAAGTTTGAAATCAAGGTGCATTCATCAGCTCTCAAGGTAGAGAGTGTAATGTTGATCACCTTTTGTCCTTTCTTTAGAGTCTTGTGGTTGTAGCTTCACACTTGCTTTATTCTTATGGTTTTGCGGTCCTAGTCTGAAGCTGCTGGGTCTGTCATAGACAGTATTCCTCATTCGTTGGAGCTAACTGATTTAGTAATAGGCTGGTGGAAACTCTTAAATCTTCTGTATTTTCCAAATGATAATGTTCGTGAGCAGGTATGTTTTAAAATTGGCAGACCCCTATGCTGTATAGACTGAGGATATGTTTATTAGCATACCGATTGTTTTTTCCTTCCAACTATAGGCGGTGTGGAAACTGGGAATTGTTGTTCTCTCCACTATAGGTTGTGATAATGCTCTTGACTGTAGGGCTTTGGATTATTTGCTGAAAATTTTGAACAACACTAACAAGATTTCAATGCTGAGAAAAGCCACGTGAACTATATCAATGTTTTATGGAGGCATGCCAAAACCGCCTTTTGAGAAGGTCAGTTAATTACTGTTGAAATTTTTTCTGCAATTATTTGATGCAAAACATTACTGATTACAATCCAATTATCAGGTGAAACCAGTAACCCGAGCTCTTCGTGACCTTGTTGCTTCAAATGATGATGAAGAGGTGTTAAGAAATGCATGCTGGCACTTTATTACTTTTCTGGTGCTATGGATGTGACTTTCAAGGCAGACTGCTCCAGCAAAGAAATCATTTCTCATCCTGCTGTGAGCAAGAGTGAAATTATTAAGGCCGCCCTTCAAGCGGATGTTCTTCCGGTGCTGCTTGAGCTCTTCGAGTGAGTGGAATGTTTTTATTTTCCTCATTTAACCCACCTTTTCATATGTAACTTACGATTGTATCTGATAGATGTTTCAGAGATCGCTCTCGTACCATAATCCCCCTGCCAGCGGTACAGTTGCAAGTATTAGCCTACGAGACAACAACCAGAAAGAGGTACGCGGGTCCAGTGTTATCAGAGGCGAAAAGCGCAAAAAAGCTCTAAGGCCCGTTGGGGCTTTAAGCGCAAAGCACAAATAAAGCGTGGGCTTTAATGAAAAAAGGCGCAACTGGAGAAAAAAGTAAAAATATGTATATGTAGTCCAAGACTAATAATTATAAGCATAAATAACAAATATATGGACAAAACAATTGAAAAACAAAATACGATAAAGTGATATATCAATTGTTTAGTGCGCCTTTTCAAGATTACACTCATTGGCAAGGAAAAGTATGCCTTAGAGCTTGATGTGACACTGAAGCCCTCCCAAAGCGAGGCGAAGCGCTCAACATGTTTTGAGCCTCGCTTTAGGGCTTAAGCGCGCTTTAAGCGTGCCTTTGACAACACTGCGCGGGTCTTAAGGAGCTTTTGTGGTTGAACCCAAACACTTTGATGAGCTAACCAATGAAAAAAGGAAGAAATTAAAATAAAATAAAATAATTGAAAGGTAGAAACATCTTAAACAATGGGACTGTTGAAAAATTGCAGGCTTCTTGGGAGTGAATTTGTGTATTGGTTCTTCTATTATCTATTCTTGCTTACTTCATATTGTGACTTCATAGACCCTTTTGGTCTGGTTCTTCCCCGGACCCCTCGCATCGTGGGAGCTTAGTGCACTGGGTTGCCCTTTTTTCATATTGTGACTTTTAACTTAAACACTTGGCATTTAGTCAAGGATTAGAACACATTAGATAGTGATAGCGTGTTTTGGAAAATATTTTCCTCGTAACAATTTCCGTAATTAGGTGAAATGAACTTTGTACGTAGCTCATGTCAAAGTCAAAGATACTGAAGTTTAACAATGGTAGAAAAACACAAAAGGTAGTGCATCAAATACATCGGCATCTAACAATTTAACGACTACTGATAGTTGCGGGATCTTTTGGGTTTGTGCAAAATAAGTGTTAAATGGCTGCCTTGAAATATAGTGGAATGGATGTAGTCGCACCTCCCCGGCCCCCTTTTCTCTCAGAATTCTCTTACATTGATTTCTACATTATTGATAGAAGTGCAAATCTTCGGTAGCAAAATGGATGCAATCACACTTCCCCTCCCCCAGCTTGTCTCAGACTTCTTCTGTTACATTGATATGATGCAATCACACCTCACTAATGAAAAGTATACTTTTTCAAATACTTAATTGCTTTTAGCCTGTGGCATTTATGTTCTCATCTTTTTATCTTTTACTTTGTAAATATTGGCTTATTCCTTACACAAAGAAAGACATAAGAGTAACCCCTCTAAAGACCTATGATTGATGAACTTCATCTGAAGTGATATGATGTGGTGATGAGTCACTTATTTAGGTAAATGAGTTTCATAAAATGAAAATGAAATTTTAACCTTAAGTTGAAACATTGGATGAATGTGTTAAAACTAAAATCATGAATCCTTGTGGTTGGTGTTTGAATTTCAACTCTGCGTTACCAGTGACAAAGTAATGGATCACTTATTCAATCAACTTTAATCTATCCTTAATTCTCTGCGATACCAATTGCTGCTGAGATGTTCCAAGCTTAATTCCAATAAGTTTAAGGGGTCGTTCGGTAAAATGATGGGATATCCCGAGATACTTCTATAGGATTATGAGATAGTTAATTCCACCTTTTTAGTGTAAAATTTATCTCAGGATTGGCTAATCCCTACCACCAAACATGGGATAAATTTCAACTCAATTTCTATACCAAGATATCCCACCTGTCTATGAATCAAACGACCCCTAAAATCTAATCTATCTTCATAAAAAAGCTCCTTTTAAAATTTTAAAAATATTCACTTTCTATTTTGCCCTTGTAAAATAAGAGCCCGTTTGGACATAAGATATTTTTCCCTATTTCCAAAAAAAATTTCACTTTTTTTTGAAATCAGCGTTTGTTCATAAAATTTTCAATTTTCACTTGAAGATCCATTTTGGAAATTTTCGAAAAATTGATAAACTCCAAAAAGCTGTTTTTTAAAATTTTCATTCAAATCACTCACAAAACTTTAAAAACAACCCAAAATTATATTCATGTCCAAACACAACTCTAAATTTCAAATACCATTTTCACTTGAAAAATTCTTTCCCCCTATTTTGAAATTTTACAATTCTTATGTCCAAACGCCCACTAATATCTTTCATGATTTTGAAAAGAAAGGGGAAGTAGCCTAATTTTAGTTCCATTCCCCGTGATATTTGAGATAACACATTTAACCTTTAATTAAACAAAATAAGTGCGTACAATCCTTTTACTAACGAAGACTAACAGTCCAAACAAAAATGTTTATATTTCCTGTCCCTTGAATTTTGTTTTTTCTTTATGGCGTCCTAAAGGTATGATTCCAGATACTGATGTACAATTACAACCCGTTTATTCTCAATGGATACAAAACACTTCCTTATGAATACGTATTGCCAAGGATTTACCTTCACCAGCAAAGGGCTCTCTTCACAGGCCTTAAAGGTATTAGGAAGAGATTTTAGTAGCCAGCGAAATAACTTGAATAGATTTTTTTTTTTTATAGAATTTCCCAGGCTTCCTGGGATGTTGTATTTATTTCCAAAAGATAGGAGGGGATGTTAGGCTTACCTCCAAGGATTACAACACACTGATATACATCCAACAGAGGTTGTTACATTAGTTTGCGCCTCTATTAAAGTACAAGACATTTACTACTTAGCTAACAAAAAAAATTACTTTGTCATACTTAAGCCTAACAGTAGGCATCTGGTGTTTGTCAAGCACAAAAGAACCTTTAGTTCCTTTTGGGAGTTGTTGGAAAGAAAGGTATACTTTGGCTTCAGAGTTAGTAGTCACCAATTTTGCTAAAGAGTCTGCTACTTCATTTGCCTCCCTGAAGCAATGCACATGGGTAATATTGGCCTGGTTCATTATATGTGAAGTATCTTTTATGATCTTCTTCAACCTATAGTTGTTGGTATCACCCTCCTTCAGCATATTCATCACCAGCATTGAGTCCAATTTAATTGTGAAGTCTGAGAACCCATTTTGTACGCACCAATTAATGCCAAACATAGCAGCTTGAGCCTCTGCAATGTTATTGCTGCTGCATCTTGAAGGAATTGAGAAGGCCATAATGAGATCTCCTTGGTCATTTCTCACTACTCCTCCCAATCCCGCCTTTCCATTACAATGAATAAAGCTTCCATCGGTATTTACTTTAATGACTCCATGTTTAGGTTTATTACAGCATACTGAGATAGCCTTAGGAATAGGTTGAAGTTTCATCATGTTGTCACAAAAGTTGACCCAAGACAATGTTAGCTTGTATTTTGGGAAAGCTCTATTGATTGCAACTTGAGTATTCCAGTAGATCTGTTGCTTCATCTTGTAGTAGTTGAACCTCTTTTTATCACCTTATTTGCAAGAACATCTACTCTTCCATATCTCCCAACATATTATAATAGGGATGATTTTGAGAGCAAGTTTGTGAAGAGCATTCTTAGATTTCTATAGCCACCAATGATTTATTAATCCTCTAATTGGCAGTTGCATAGGAATGATTCCCAGAGGGGATCCTATAGCTTTCCAGATATACCTAGCTGCATCACTCTCAACAAAAACATGTTGCATAGTCTCTTTTTTTGGGTTAGTGCAGCAGTTACAATTAGAGATAATGTTCTTACCAAAATTAAGGATAATATCATCAAAATGAAGTTTAGATAAGCACAATCTCCATGTTAGGAAAGAAAATTTTAAAAGGAATGCTAGAGTTCCATACCTTTGTAAGGAATCGATCTTTCTCCTTTGCGTCTCTGAACAGATGTGAAGCTGTCTTGTTAGAATATTTACCATTATCAGTAAGATCCCAAAAAGCTTGGTCAGGCAGATCATACCTACCAATGTTGATATTTTCTATATGGTGAATGAGCTCATCTGGAAATAAATCTTTGAGCCTTTGGATATTCCAGTTGCCATCTTGAATAAAATCTTTAATAAGGATTTTGGAGCTTTTGTTGGCATTTGGAAATAAGGAAGCTAAAGGTCTTTTTCCGGTCCAATTATCCCACCATATACTTGAGTTTTCAGAGTTGATATGCCAAATAATGTGAGGTTCAGCCTTGTCTCTGACTTGAATCATCTCCTGCCATGAGTGAGAATTACCAGATACATTGTGATTAATCAATGGATGGACTCTAGCATAATATTTTTGATTCATGAAAGTAGCCCACAGAGAAGGGATAGTTCTAAACCTCCACCATCTTTTGGTGGCTAAAGTATTGGCAATATCTTGCATTTTTCTAATCCCAATCCCACCTTCTTCAAGAGGATAACAAAGATTTTTCCAGGATCTCTAGTGATACTTCTTTTGATTCCGATAGTATCCCCAGAAGAAATTGGCAAGATATTTCTCAATAAGCTTAAAAATGGCTTTTGGAGGACACATAGCAGAAAGAGAATAAGTAGGGAGGGCTTGAAGCACATTCTTGATGAGAATGACTTTTCCTCCATATGAAAGCAATTTTTCATGCCAACCATTAAGCTTCTTGACAATACTGTTAACCATGCCATCAAAATAGGCAGTCTTTTTCTTCCAATATAAATGGGACAACCCAAATAGGTGAAAGAAAACTCTTTGTCCATAAAACCAGTACAATCCCTGATTCTATTAATTCTAACAGCAATAGTTTTAGGAGCAGTTAAGAAAAAACTTTTATCCTTGTTAACCTTTTGACCAGAGCTTTTTTCATAACTATGAAGAATATTCATAATGAGATTAACAGAGTTGCTATTACCACCAGAAAAGATAACTATGTCATCAGCATATGCTAGGTGGTTAATGTGTGGACATCTAAGTGGAATAGAGAAAGGAATAAAATTATTATCTAGCAAAAGGCTATTCAGGGAGCAAGAAAGTACTTTAACAACAAGGATGAATAAGGAGGGAGATAGGGGGGTCACCCTGTTTTAGACCCTGACTTGATTTAAAAAATACTTTCCTAGTACCATTAATGATGATAGAATACCCATTACTAGACAGAAGATTAAAGATCATGTCAGTCCAAATTTTCGCAAAACCAAATTTCCTAAGCACAACAATGACAAAGTTCCAAGATATTCTATCATAGGCTTTAGCCATGTCCAATTTCATTACAACATTATCACCTTTATTAGTATTAGAGATAGATTTAATAATTTCCTGAGCTAAAAGAACATTTTCAGTAATGAGTCTATCCTTAACAAAATCACTTTGATTAGCAGAGATTAACTTAGTAAGCAAAGGGTTCAGCCTAATAGAAAGGATTTTAGTGATAATCTTGTTAGTATAATTAGAAAGGCTAATAGGTCTAAATTCATTAAAAGATGAAGTGGCAGCATTCTTGGGGATAAGAACAAGACAAGTATGAGTATAGAATTTAGTCAGAGGCTTACCTTGGAAGAAGTCAATAACAAAGGCTATGATATCCTTTTTGATGATGTCCCAACATCTTTGGAAGAAGGATCCATTGTACCCATCTGGCCCAGCACTACTGGTGGCTGACAGGTTGAATATTGCATTTCTAATCTCCTCTTCACTTGGAATAGCATTAAGAAGTACGTTGTCTTCTTCTGTAATTTCCTTGATAATGCAATTCAAAATAGAAGGATCTAGTTTGGAGATAGGGAGGTTAAACATGGCGTTGAAATGTCTGATAGCTGCTTTAGAAATTTTCTCGTCTCCTTGAATCCATTTTCCTTTATGATTTTTAATCCTATCCAATTGAAGTCTTCTCCTCTTTTCTCTGAGCAAACTGTGAAAATAGCTTGTGTTCCTATCTCCATCTCCAAACCACTTTATGTTTGCCTTCTGAGTGTTTAAGGACTCCTGCATATCTAGCCATCTGATGTATTCCGCATGTGCTTTGTTAGTTTCACTTCTATCTGCCTCTGTGTTGTTGATAATATCCATTTCTTCCAGGCTTTGAATCTTCTCCTCCCATTTGATGAGATTACTCTGGATATCTCCTATGGATTCTCTAGACCATTGACTTAGCTTGGAGTCTTCACATATTGTTGCCAGTGATATGAGTGTCCCAAACCTCTTTACAATGCTGAGAAAGTCGTCTTGCTTGGTCCAAAAATTAAGAAATCGAAAGTACTTAATGTGGATGTTGGTCTTATCAAAACATTTCATAAGCAAAGGCCTGTGATCTGAGCCTGTTCTCACTAAATGTTTGATAGTAGTATTCTGAAATTTTTGTGGCCATATATCTTTGATAAAAACTTTATCTAGTCTTTTCCAAATTCTTTTACTAGGCCTCTAATTGTTACACTAAGTAAACTTAGCTCTAGAAAAACCAATATCTGTCACCCCACAGTTATCCATACAATTGATAAAATCTAAGCTCTTAGACATTCTGTGAGGGTTACCACCAAATTTTTCGTCAGGTTCTAAGATAACATTGAAGTCTCCTACAATGCACCATGGACCATTAATACTATTGCTGTCATTTTCTAGGCTAGACCATAAGTCTTTTCTTTCCCTAGAAGTACATTTGGCATAAACAGCCGTAATGGCAGTAGTAATGTTGGAATGACCTTCTTCAATCTTGATAGTAATGTGTTATTGAAAAATCTTTTTTTTTTGTGGTTAAAACAGTTACTTTTGTGTTGGGTAATTTGGTTAGTTCCAATGAACTAAATAAGCTTTGGAAATAGAGTTTTGGGTCTTATCCATTGTCCATTGTTGAAAATCTGAACATCTAATTTTGTTATCAAATCACCATCAACATTTTGAATTAATTATACTATGTTTGGTTATCAACATCTAATTTTGTTATCAATTCCTAAACTCAGTTTGATTTGAACATTCAATCTAGGGGTTGTTTGGTACACAGACTAAATTATTGTTGGACTAATTTATCCCACTTGGGAGGTGGCATTTCCTGGATTAATTATACTATATTTGGTTAATGGTAGAAATTTATCCTGGGATAAATTTGTCGTCAATCAAACAAAGTATAAATTTAATCCCACACCTTATCCCACCTTATCCGCGTACAAAACAACCCCTTAACCTACAGGTTAGAATTATTGTTATATAGTATATAATTATAAGAGTGCTAATAATTATAACGCTTATTTCACGACTTGCTCCTCATCATCATCAAATTGTTTGCCGAAAATACTTAAAGTAATTGATGAAAAGCTGGCGATATTGCTTTTTATTCATCTATATAAACCTTTGATGGAGAAGAAGAAGCATGTACTCGGAGATTGATACAAGCAACTTTGTTTCAAAGAATGACTAGATTGTAGTTTCGAATTTTTGAGTTCCCTCATTTCGATCAATTCTTTTCAAAATCAAACCAGATATTTGATCAAAAGGCATAACACACTGATCGGTTCAAGTTATTATCGAGATTATTCGATGCATCACATGAAGAATACTTAAAAATTATTTCATGGAATGTCAAAAAATGTGACATGGGAATTTATCAAAAAGAGAGGCTATAGAAGAGTTTCTAGAGCATTATAATCCCCAAATAGTAATCTATACTATATTAAAAGAACGAAGGCCTCTAGCGAAATGTCGTTCGCCTTTTTTACCCTTTTAAAATATAGTTCACATTAGACAAAATAATCATTTAATTATTTTCCTAAAATTGAGTTGTTTAAAATCAACTAAAATTAACGCTATTAAATCTTTCCTTATTTGAATAATATAGGAACTCCTAATATATAGGAACTTACAATTATCTTTATAAAAATACTTTCCTTAGCAATAATTTTGCAAAGTAAACTATGTTAAAAGTTGAACTTTTAAGTTAATGATTTAAAACACATAATATTAACCATGTTAAAAGTAATATTAGATGTTAAACTCTTTGCAGTATACGAGACTTCTTAGATCAACTAATATTGTTATTTGTGAATTTTTAAACGTGAGTATTTTTTTAATGAAGAATTCATTCACACAAATAGCCACCTACCTAATCTCTTCAAGCCCGCAAATGCATAATATATGTATAATTAATGCATAATATGTGTATAACTATATATAATAAATGTATAATTTATGTATCGGCTAGAAAAAATAAACAATGAATTTGGATGGCTATTTGTGTAACAATACCTTTTTATTTTATTTTATTGTAAAGCCAAATAATATTTTAATCATTACTTGGATAAGTTTAAATTTCTCATCAACTATTTAATTGGATTTTTTTATTAGATGTGACTAATATCAAATTATTTGGTATAATATTGGTTCATAATTAAAAAAATGGCTTTTATTTCATTTGACAAATCTTTGAATATTTGCAATAAAAGTATGTCACACAAAATATTTAACTAAATGTAGTTTTCAAAAAATAAGTTCAAACAAAATGCAGTAGTTTTGAATTCAGAATTAGATTACTTAAACAATAATAATTTTTATGAGATATTTCAAATAATATGATGTTCATGTTAAAACTAAAAGAGAAGCATGATTACTTGTGAAGTTGAGCAGATGAAATTATAAAAGTGAAACTTAGTTTAAGTTGAATATAAGGAATGATGATTGAGGACTTCTATAGGGTAGGGTTTCATAATTTATTAAGTTACCTATATAGGATCAATGTTCATCAATTTCAGAAGCTTAAATTTTTATTTTATGAGTCAATCATAGTTTTTAATATAATATTTATGAAAATTTTAAAAAAATACTATTCATCGAGATAGGGTACACGAGCAATGTGTGTACTTTAGATTTAGGAGTTTTTTCTACCAATAAAATAATTATTATTTCACAGGTTTATTATCGTGTCTTTGCTGTAATACTATGCAAGTTCTAAGTCTTTTCTATTCATGGTGTCTTGCTTCTGCAATATCTATATTGACCAGGTTTGGCATTATATCTTACTACTTACTCCCTCCGTTCACTTTTAGTTGTCAAGTATTCTAAAAATAAATTTTCATTTTTACTTATCACTTTTCGCATATCAAGAGAAAAATAATTTATTTTTCATGTTTTGCCCTTAGCATTAATTACTCATTCCAAATTATTTTTCAAATCCATTATGACTATGCACTAATTAATATGAGTATTTCTTAAGGGGCGTGCAAAGTCAATAGTGGACAAGTAAAAGTGAACGAAGGGAGTATAAAACTTATGTGCGTATTTATTTTCAATAATTACATTGATATCAACATCATATATAGAGTTATTGTTCATGGGGATTGTTATAAATTTAGAATTTTCAAGAAATGTGTAACGACCTGACCGGTCGTTTTGAGTATCACAGTTCTGTTTTCCCATTTACTGCTCAATTTGGGCTTTACAGTTGTTGTGTAACTTGTCGGGATAATTGATTCGAGTCTGATGAGGTTTTGGAATGAATTGGAACACTTAGTTCCAAGGTTTAAAGCTTAAGTTAAAATAGCGACCGGATGTCGACTTATGTATAAACAACCCCAGAATGGAGTTTTGATGATTTCAATAGCTCCGTATGATGATTTTGGATTTAGGAGCGTGTCCGGAAAATTATTTGGAGGTCCGTAGTGGGATTAGGCTTGAAATGGTGAAAGTTGAATTTTTGAAAAGTTTGACCGGGGGGTTGACTTTTTGATATCGGGGTCAAAATTCGATTCTGAAAATCTTAATAGGTCAGTTATGTCAGTTATGACTTGTGTGCAAAATTTGAGGTCAATTGGACGTGATTTGATAGGTTTCGGCATTATTTGTAGAAATTGAAAGTTTCAAAGTTCATTAGGCTTGAATTGGGGTATGATTCGTGATTTTAGTGTTGTTTGAGTTGATTTGAGGGTTCGACTAAGTTCATATAATATTTTAGGACTTGTTGGTATATTTGGTTGAGGTTCCGAGGGGCTCGGGTGAGTTTCGGATGGTTAACGAGTTGGATTTTGGACTTGGAACTCTGCTGGAATTTTTCTGATGCACTATCTAGTTTCCTTCATCGCGTTTGCGAGTGGAGCCTCACGTTCGCGAAGAGGAAATGAGAGGCTGGAAATATTTGCTCTTCGTGTTCACGAAGAGAAGAACGCGTTCGCAAAGGGTGGATTGGGTGTGCATCGCGAACGCGAGAGGTGTTACGCGATCGCGAAGAAGAGAGAAAGCAGCCGAGGACCCAAGAGAATTGGTCTAAGCGTTCGTGTATGGGGTGTCGCGTTCGCGTAGTGAGGGGGGACGAAGCATCGCATTCGCGATTGGTTGAACGTGTTCGCGTAAAAGGCATTGAAGCAGAGACATTTTGTGCTTCGCGAACGCGAGGGTGATGTCGCGTTCGCGAAGGAGGAATTTGGATGGAAATTATTTTGTACTTCGCGAACGCGAGGCACTGACCGCGTTCGCGAAGAAGAAAAGCCTGAGCAGTAAGTTTAAGTTCTGAAAATGGGACCTCATCCCATTTTTCATTTTTCACGGATTGAAGCTCGGGAAGAGGCGATTTTCGGGAGTGTTTCAAGAAAAATAATGGAGTAAGTGTTCTAAACTCAATATTAGTTAAATTACCCGATTCCACGGGTATTTTTAATATTTAATTGTTGAATTAAGTTGGAAGATTGTGAAAACTCTCTTGGTTTAATTTGGAGATTTGAGGGTCGAGTTGATATCGGATTTGAGTAAAATATGTATGGTTGGACTCGTGGTTGAATGGGCGTTCATATTTTGTAACTTTTGTCGGGTTCCAAGATGTGGGTCCCACATGCAATTTTTGAGTGTAATTTCGATGTGAAAAAATTAATATTTTGATATGGAATAAATTCCTATAATTTGGGTTGACTGAATCAAATTAATTGTGACTAGATTCGAGCCATTCGGAAGTTGTTACGCGCAGAATGGAAATTTCTGGAGCATTGTTTAGCTTGCTTGACATTGGATTCGGCTTGTTCGAGGTAAGTAACTCTTCTAATCTTAGAGTTGAGGGTATGAACCCTGAATATATGTATTATATGAATTGTTGGGAG